CCATCTGTAAATATTTGGACATCCCCTTACAGAAGGGTCACAAGGAAGAGACAAGCCAGTCAAGGTGCATTATAGCACCGATGAAACATACAAATTTCCTCTAGTTCTTTAATGCTTCCTCCCCTCCCCCCACTCCCCCTACTATCATGACTCAAATTCTACAAATCTGGTTAGACCAGAGGATGTACACTGGTACAGATAAGATCTGGAAACAGGGAATCCAGGACAGCTAACCCCCTCAAGACCAATAATGAGAATAGAGATACCAGGAGGGAAAGGGAAGGTGGGGGTAGAAAGAGATCACAATGATCTTCATATAGTCCCCTCTCAGGGAGATGGACAATAGAAAAGTGGGTGAAGGGAGACATCAGTCAGTGTAAGACATGAAAAAATAATCTAAATTATCATGGGTTCATGAGGGAAGGAGGGGAGGAAGGGAAAAATGAGAAGCTGATAACAAGGGCTCAAGAGAAAGAAAGTGTTTTGAAAATGACGATGGCAACAAATGTACAAATATGCTTGACACATGTATGTATGTATCTATGTACTGTGATAAGAGCTGTACAAGCCCCCAATAAGATGATTTTTTTAAAAGAAATATGTTGGAGGGAAAGTTGCCATTCAACCCACAACAGAGATCATGTTGCTGGTTTGTTTTAATATATGCCACAAATGGTGGGGATCAATGACTGCTGGAACAGACCCCCATCAAAAGTGGTAAGCTGGTCTCTCAACTTGAACAACATTTGTATGAAAAAACAAAATTGCTCGTGTCCTCGAAAAGGTCTCTCCTTGCTAAAAAGTAAAAGTCTGGGTAATTCCTAAGCTAAGGGAACACGTGGGTTAGACAGATGTAAAGACTGTGGGAACCTTCAATGACATACCACTTTTCATTATAAACAGTGGAGGGAGGGGTACAAATCAGAGGGCTGAGAAAAGTCTTGTGAAACCTTGTTGTGTGAGACCTGCCAAATGTCTGAGACGAATTCCCCAAAGTTAGCTCTGTCCTGGTCAGCACAAATACAAAATGGGTTCTTTTCACTGGAGATTTAATGTTTACTTTTTGCAGTCACTGGGACAAAGCTCCTGGTGGAAGGAGTTGCCCTTGGTTACTTCCAGGTGCTCTGCTTTTGGCCAAAGATCACTGCCTTCGAGTCAACACTGACTCATAACTACCCAATAGATCAGAGTGGAACGGCCCTGCGGGTTTCCAACACTGTACATCTTCATGGGAATAGAAAGCCTCGACTTTGTCCTGAGGAGCAGCTGGGAGTTTTGAACTACTCTCCTTCTGGTTAGTAGCCCAATGTGTACCACTCCAGGGCTCGCTTGTGGCAAGAATATTAGGTAAGAAAGAATGTTGTCCCCTTAAAACAGTGATTTCTTGAAGCAGTGAGAGAATGCTTTGAAAGCAAATGCACTGAGGAGTGGGGAAATCATCGTCCCAAGAGCTGATGTTGCTCTGACAAATGAGAGAGCCTCA